TTGACAGGTCACATCCAGTTACCCAGCTGCTTTGCCCTGCCCTAATTTCCTGCCTCAATTTCAGTGCATTATACCTGCGTAATGACCAGATCTGGGTAATTTACACATCCATTCCTCAAATGTTTATTATTTGTGTTGGGAATATTCAAAATCCTCCCTACTAGCCATGTTAGAATATTCAATTAGCTATTAGCAACCTCAGTCATCCTACCTTGTTATAAAGCATTAGAAATTCTTCCTGCTGTCCTGAACCCTTTGCCATTGACCCTTCTCAATTCACTCCCCACACCCTTCCCAGGCCTGGTGACCAACCTTCTCTCCACATCCATGCAATCCACCTTTTAGCTTTCCCATGTAGGTGAGAACATGTAGTATTTGCCTTTCTCTGCCTGGTTTATTTCACATCACACAGTGCCCTCCAGTCAGCTCCACCCATATTGTTAGAGACGATGGATTTCACCTTTCCTGTGGTGGAATCTTATCCCACTGTGGGTATCCGCCATGCTTTCTTCACCAGCTCCTGCACCAATGGTAGCTTGGGTGGTTCCACGGTAGCTTGGTCTCATGGATCACACTGCAGCACACATGCAAGTGCAGGTGTTTATTCCACAGACTGATTGCGTTTGCTTTGGGATCATGGAGCCCACAGAGGAGAAGGTCCCCGTGCACCACTCAGGCAGCCCCAGGAGACCAGGAGGGAGACGGCCAAGGAAGCGGATAGCTTACCCTCTCACCACTCCTCTCCAGCCTCTTATTGAAGGTCTCTGTGTAGCTAACCCTATGGATGTTCAGCAGGTCAATTTCTGGGCCCAGTGTGCAACATAGGAAAGGGTCCAGAATGGATCTCTATTGGAAGTCCATGCCCCCACCCCAGCAGACACAAAAGTGCCATTCCCACAGAGTAGAATCAAGTTGGTCACACTCCCTGCACTGCCTCCCAGCTCCAAAGCGACCCCTCAGGACCAGCTCTGCCATGTGGGACAGAAGTCCCCTCAGCCACCATCCCTGCCTCTCGTAGAGCTCTCTCTGCAGCAGCACTGGAGGGGACTCGAGAGGAAGAGATCTCATGGCCTGTGCCACTGCTGTGTGTAGTCCACAGTGTGAGTGGGAGGACTGGCCCGGTAATGGGAATAGAATTCATTTCCCAGGGTTTCTGTGAATACTGACTTTCAGAGTGCGTATATGGCCCTGGACTTCTCAGAGGGCAAGTCAGAGCAGCTTTGATTTTAATCCTTTCTGTCTGTTATGCCTGATTGGAGGACAGGCACTGGGCAAGCCTTCTCTTGTGCCCGGATGAAAAGTGGGGTGGCATTAGGATGATCCGCCATAGGGCCCAGGGATATAAAATCCCACAATCACTCTCAAGTCGATTTTTGAAGGTGTCTATTCCAAACCATCAGTTAGCCCTGCAAGCTTTGCTCAAGGGGAGACTGGAGCTCCCCAGTTGCTGACTATGGACTCTGCCCCACCAGGCTCGGTGCTGAAGAAGGAAGAGAAAGAACTGGAGACACAGAAGCTCTCGCTTGGAGGACACTGTCCAGGTGTGACTTCCGCTGCCTGACACAGGTGCTCAGGGCCAGCCTTTCTCTGTCAGACACCCGGAGCATCCTTCCGGGCCCCTCCCCGGGGATGCATCCTGGCTCTCCAGTCCTCCCACCCAGCTCAGTCCTGTTTTCCTGGCAGCGCATCAGTACTGGCCTCCACCTTGCACTGCACACCTCTCTCGTGCGTGATTCTACATCATCAAAGCCAGATCTTGCACCCGTACTTGGCTCCCACTAGCCCAAGGGAACAGTCATCTACCTGCATCCAGCAAATCCTACAGCTGAGGTCCAGCCCAGCACAGAGCGACTCTGCTCACCTTCCTCTCCAGCTCTGCCAGCCCCTCTGGGCCTCCACATGACCACCACCACCTGTGGTACCTGTCAGACCCGCACTGCCTTCAAGTGAGCTGTGGGCCTGCTGACCGGGTGTGCACAGGATACAGAAGGAGATGGCTTATACACTGCTTCCTTATAAACTTCTTCCTTCTCCCTCCTTTTTCTTTTCCTTTCTTTTCTTTCTTTCTTTCATTCTTCCTTCCTGTCTTTCTTCTTCCTTTCTTTCTTTTATTTTTATATTGGAGATTGAACCCAGGGCCTTCATACTGGCTGCATCCCCAACCCTTTTTTATCTCTATTTTAAAACAGGATCTTGCTAAGTTGCCCAGGCTGGTCTTGAACTCACAATCTTCCTGCTTCAGCCTCCCAGAGTGCTGGCGTGACAGGTGTGCACCACCACCACCCCAAGTGGCTTTCTCAGCTTTTGACAGAGGAAGTAATTTTCCACTTGGGTTCTTCCTGAGAAACTTTCCTCTGTAACTCATCACTTTCCATCTTGACCCATGTGTTCCTCTTCACCTATCTTTTTCTTTCCTGGGACCCTTGATCGAACACCCCTTTGGTGATCACAGGCACGTGGCTCAGTGGTAAACTGTCCCCGCTGCCTCACTATGGTTTTCCCATAAATCGGTCTTCACAGCTGTGAGGACAGCACTGGCAATCGATGCAGAAGCGAAGACACTATGCAAACTGCTGGACTCGCGAGTTCTGCCTGCTAAAGCAGGTCCCCTGACTGTGTCCCTCCAAAGCATGAATCAGAGGCCTCTCGCTGAGTAGCTCCCTTCACGTCCACAAAAACTTCTTCTTGTTGATTCTAAAAATAAAGGGGGAAATAAAGTGCCTAAAAATTTTTCCTATGCACAAAATCAAATAGCACTTCAGACCCCGTCTTCCTTCTAAGTAGCTCCATGTAGTAAGCTGTATAGAGAGGGAGAAAAAATTTAAAAAATAATAAGTGACTTTCAAATTTGTTTTTGCCAGTCTCTACTGACAGTATACAATTTCATAGTTCTGAATATAAATCCAGTAATCAGAAGACCTTCAGACAACAAAGGAAAAAGCCAAATCCTCAGAATAGTTTCATTTTTGTTTCCCTAGAATTGAGGTCTCTTCGTACCAACTCCTGATTCTCGTGGCTGCCGTGGATCTGCTAGAGGCAGCCTCTCTGGCTCGTCCTGCAGCAGGACCGGTCCGTGAAGGAGGAAGACTTTCCTCCACCAGGATGCAGAACGGGGTGTGAGTGCCCCCCTCTCTCTGCTCCTCCTGCCCATAGCGGTGGACTTGGGCTTCAAGGCCAGCGTCTCGAAACCATCTCAGAACAGGAAGCAACCTTGCAAGAAGGCATCCAAAGCTCAACGTGACAGAACAGACAAACAGAGGAGTCTGGGGACCCCGACTGCCCCCACACCACAGCTGCAGGAAAGGAAGAAGCCCTTGTGTGTTTAGGCACCTGTGTGATAACCGTCAGGTCTACGCAGGGACCTTGTCTTTCTCTGCCTCACTAGATTGCACTAGGCAATGTTCATTTTCACCCAAGTGGACCTCTCTTCCCAATGTCACTTGGTTGTCAGTGACCGCAGTGTGCCACTGAGAATGCTGAATTTTGGGGGGGTGGGCAGTTCTTAGAATTCACAGAGAGGTATTTGGAGTTACCAGGTTATCCACCTGCTTTACAGTTTACCCACAGTTCTACAGTAAAGTCACTGATTCCAGACCCTACAGGCCTCAGAGGCCTTCAACTTGGGAAGCTGAATGGTCAGGAGTGAAGACTTTGTGCACACTCAGCCCAGAGAGGAGGCAAAGAGAAGAGCAGCCCAACACAGGCTCTGCAGCCCACAGCTGTGTGGATGGCACAGTAGCAAGGAGAAAGCAGCTGTAGTGATGTCAGTGTTGGAGGATTTGTTTATTAGGCAGTTAGGAACCTCTTGTTACATAAGAGACCTTGAGCGAACACAGAAGAGCCTGGGAATCATGGGAGTCTACTGGGAATCATGGGAGCCTACTGGTAAAATCCATGTGGGACACAAAGGAAGACAGACCAACATAGCACCCTGGGCTACCCTCAGCATCTGTGATGTTCGCACATTCATTATCTCAGGCTCATGGTGCTGCTTGGTTCTTTCTTTGAGGTCACTTTTTTAAAATGCAAGCTCCTCACTGACAAAGCCCTTGTAAATGTGGTGAATCAGAAATGCCCAGTCAGCAGGGCCTTCCTGTGCCCCTACTGAGGTTACACCCCACTCCTCAGGGGCTGCTGGTGGGCTGACTCTGACATGGGCTGCACTGAACAGCACTAGAAATGGGCCATGGCCGGGCAGGTTCACGACTGCACAAGCACCATCTTTGCAAGAGGCAGCCCATGTGATGTCTATGCAACAAAACTTACACAGGTAAAGCCAAGAAAATAATACTTTATAAGGGCTGGGGATTTAGCTCAGTGGTTTCGCCACCTGCTGCGCAAGCGCAAGGACCCAAGTTCGATCCCTGGTACCAAAAAAAAAAAGAAAAAAAATAATACTTTATAAAAAGGAATGAGGAAAAATATTAGGGTTTGAACAAGGAGGTGGTCCAGGAGGCCTTTCATGAATTGTTATTGATATTAGATATTCTCTACTATGTAAAATTAAATAATAGATAATGAGGGTCTGATATAGTAGTTAATAAGTGCCAGCTACTGATAACCATTTTTTAAGTTTTACAATGAAAACCTAAAGACCCAATATATGATACACTGAAGTCAGTTTTCTCATGGTTTGGTTTGTGGTCCTGGGGACAGAACCCAAGACCTCTCCACCACTGATGTACACCCTCAACTCTGAAACCATTTCTGGTTTTTCCTGGCACCATCTCCAAAGTCTAAAGATCATAGGATACATACCTGGCATACCAAGTGCATTAGCATGAGCTATGTTGACCGATAGCTCTGTGCTTGTTTAAATACAGCCATTGAGGATAATTCAAATGTGACACGGCTTCCCACAGCCAATCTCCTGCACTCGACTAAAGCCTCCACAAAGTGCAATCTCCTTTTTGCTTCTCATTTTTCTGCTGTCTCTGAACTCATAGTTGAGGAAAATAGCCAGAAGGTAGCCAAGAAGTGTGCAGATAGTTCACACACAGTGCGAGGTCATCAAACTCTCCTTTAATGTAATGCTGTAAGTAGTTTCTTAAACGAGACATACAACCTATGCTTTAGAAAGGCAAAGATTACTTAGTAGGATTGAATATTAAAAAGATGAAATGATAAGAATAGATTCTGCTTATCAAAATGGCCAATAAGTCTTTGTAGTATTTGCTTGCTAAATATTTTTTGAAATAAACATACCTTCAATTTCTAAATTTTCTCTCTCCCCAACAATATCAGGTACATGATAGTCACTCAAAAAAAAATACACATTAAATGAATAATGAATGGACAGTACATGCTTTCACAGGTATTTACAATTGGAACAACAATATTTTTTAAATTGTAAATTAAAAAGAAATATACATCAACATACGTGTTACATGTTCCTCAAATTTGCATTACTGCTATGTGAGAACATTTTCTAGTCTGTGGGAAAATGGAATTCCTGAGATCATCGTTGGCTTTTATCCATCATTTTCCTCACTATCAAATCATCTTTCCTTATGTGACTCGGGAGTGTGAATTGAGGTTAGGATGTTTAACTTTAGACTCCTTTTCTATTATCTGGGTAAATAGGCTCCATCTTCTGGAAAAAGTAGAAAGATAACCTTGGGATGCCGAATTTTTTTCCCCAAAGTATACCATATGCAAAAATGCAGACTGATCCTAGAAGACATCTTCTCTGAACAACTCTCGGTCACCACAAGCAATGTGTGCTTTCTGCTTCATCAGTCCCTGACACACAGCAGCCCAGCTGTTGTTTGCATTTATTAAAATATTCTCTGCCAATTAATTATGTTCATCTTTAGGGTCGGGGATTTACCTCAGTGACACCGCACCTGCCTCGCAAGCACAAGGTCCTGAGTTCGATCCCCGGTACCACAAAAAAAAAGAATTACTTTCATCTTTAAAAGTAAATTACTTAAAATTACATTCAATTTCTTTCTTGAAACCAACATATTCTTCCCTGTCACAAAGCAAATCCCCGGCCCTGAAGCTGACCGGTCTCCCTCTCTGCACACTGTGCTGAGGTGGACCCACTGCATGCTCGGGACCTGCACACACAGCGCTGGCCTCCGCTGGAGTCTGGGGGGCTGACTTGGAGATGAGTCTCTAAGCCCAAACCTAGGAGGGCTCGCGAGTCTTTATTGATTTCTTAGTTTGAATTATTTTGGAAGGCTTTTAACACAATGTCGTAGGTTCCTGATGGAAACATAAAACAGAACAAACGCTGTGCACAATATTTCCTTCTCGGGTTCACAGAAGCCAGGGAATCATTTATATCTGTGTTGTGTGTTTTGCTTCTCTTCCACATTCTCATGTACCTGCTCTTGAAGCACTAGAACAAATTAATTGAAAGAAAACCACTGTGAAACCACTTGAAACTGACCCTACTGAGTTTTAAAGCCTCAAGGGACCTATCTTGTGTTTTTCCGGGGTCTCGCTGTCGACATGATTAGAAAATGCATGTATCTTGCTTCGTGGTGATTTTCCAATGTGCACGAGGCGTGGGAAACTGAGCATTTTCCGAGACCTCATGCGCTGGGCACTCAGACTGGAACCGAACACCTTTCAAAACATTTTAACAACAAATAACAGTCTCTTTCACAGACCTGAAACCAATAATCACTTTTCTTGACCTACACTTAAAAACAAAAGCATCTTTTAACTAAGTAAGCGTAAAAATCCCTCTGGAGATGTTTTGATTTGTGAATGCCTTCATCCGGGACACCGCCTCCACGCCCCCATCACTCCAGCTCGATGTCCCCCGCGTACAGGGTGATGAGCAGGATGGCTATGAATCCCGTCAGCATGCCCGCGTTCTGGATCAGGAAGAAGGTGAAGTCTGTCTTCCTCCCCGTCACCTTCTCCCTGAGCATGTCGTTCATCTCCGGGAACTAGAACAAGACGCATTGTTAGACAACTCTTGCCATCTGGTGGCAAAACACAAAACAGTCACTGCAGACCGCCGTGGGGGAGAGGGCCATGATTTCAGGCGTTTAGATGTTGAAGAGAAGCTGAGATGTCCAGCACTTTCCAAGGATTGAAGGGGTGCACACGGCTCCGCCGAGCGCCCCCGCCCCCAACCAGCAGGATGGGGCAGACCTCCGTCTAGCCTGTGCGTGCGTGCGTGCGTGTGTGGGTGCGTGCGTGTGTGTTCCATCCATACCGTCCTTTCAGGACCCCAGCACCCAGCCTCACTCCTTCCTCACACACTCCCTACAACCTCAGCCTGAACTCTTCTGCCTCCAGTTTTTCAACAGACCAAACCCTTAAGATTTCATCTTAAATTGCACCTTCCTGAAACACTTCCCTTCACCCTTCCCAACTCATGCTAGATTTCCTTATTGTCCCCTCTCATGGTAGACACTGCTTTTCCTTTTCATACCATTTTAGAACTATTTGTAATTCTCTGGTCAGCCCGATGTTTGTGTCTTGCATTTCATCCCTGCCAGACTGCAGAGACTAGACTGAAAGAATCACCCCAGGTCTCCAGTGCCTGACACAAGAAACATACCCATAGCAGCTGACTGGATAAATTTTTAGAAACAACCCTACATTTCATTTCTTTTTCTTCAATTTGTTTCCTTTGACTTGCTGTACCATCACAAAGTCATAAAGTTTTAAAATAAATTGTGTGTTATTCTAGGGTCAAAAACTATAGCATCATTACAGTGGAAAGACTTAAAACTCTAGGTATTTCATCTAAAATCTACCCTCTCTCAAAGATGGGTACTGACCAGGCTACATAGGAGATATGAACACACTGACTTCGCAAGGCACATTGCAAAGTGATTGGCTATGTACACCAGATCCATTCAAGGTGTTCAGGGTCCAGCTGATCCAGGAGTCTGGCTTAAGAAAATTTCTTCCAGGATAAAATGGTTGGAGCTGTGAAACTACTCCAGAAAAAGCAAAAGCACCATAAGTATATGCAGCATCCTTTGTTAGTATTGTTTCCTTAAACAGAACAACTCCAGTGGACTCTGCTGTACTATCAGAAAAAGGAGAAATGTCCAGCTGGAGTAAAGATAGGGTGAGGCCTGGATTCTGTGAAGATGAAGATCAAAGCAGTGATGCTTCAGGAGAAGATGTCCTAGCTGTTCTAGACAGTGATATTTGGAGCTACAAGTACAGATGAAAAAAATCAAATTATTAAATTATATGTTTGATATCTTCAGTTCCAAGTGAGAAAGCAATGTTCTTTGATTTTCATACAGTAGCATATTTTTTATTTTCTACAAAGCTGTCCATGACTCACTCACAAGTGCATAGGCCATTTCCCTCTGAAACACACTCACTCACATGGACACACAAACATATGCAGATATTAATACAGACATAGACACCACAGAGACAGAAATACAAATGCATACTGAACCTAGTAAGCATTGTCAAATGTTAATGTTAGCAACTTTAGTGAGCTAGCTTTAGTTTAATTCAAAAGCCTTTCACTGTTTAGAGACTTGAAATAACAGGATGCTATTTATTCTAACAAGTCCAGATGCAATGTTTGCACAAAAGAGAGGGACAAAGTTCTACAGTGGACCCTTGACTTATGAACTCAATTCGTTCCCCAGGGCAGTTGTAACTCGAGTAGGTCAGTGAAGGCTCAGGCTCCTCCTCACAGCCTTCAAAGTCTCTCTCCTGTTCACAGGCAGATCTCAGCGTGCTTAGAGAGACATTGGCCCAGGATTTCTCAACCCCACACAGGGAAAGATGCTGTGATGTTCCTTCCAGAACTCTTTATGGGTTAAATCTGTATCTGAGACTGGAAGTTAAATCTGGAAGTACAGGCGGCTGGCATTCGGGTCATAACTCAAGACTTTGTTCATGAGTTAAAAGTAAAATTCTGGTCATAACCCAAGTTGTTCATATGTCAGGCCAGTTGTCACGTGAGGGTCCACTGTGTAAGGACAGATTATGATAGAAGACAAGTCTCACTTGTCAAAGGCACAATGGGCCTAGGAAAACATCCCTGCTTCAACAAAAGCAAATCATTTCACCTTCTACTAATGAGATCTCATTTTTAAAAATCAAGGAGACCTACTGTGGACTTACAGAGTGCTGGGCTCAAGAAGGGCGGGCTGAAACAGGAAAGTCCAAGTCCCCAAGGCAGGCCCACACGTGGGGGAGCAGCTTATCTCAGGTTTTAATTAGGACAAAACAAAATGCCTGAATGTCTTACCATATCAGCCAGAGAAATGTAGAGGAACATGCCCCCCGCCAGTGCAAATATGATATTCGGAGCAAAATTGTTGCCCACCAGGATGCCAAAAGCCAGCCCCACATAGCAGGAGCAGGCGGAGAGGAAGTTGAACAGCAAGGCCTGCCGCGTGCTCATCCCCGCGTTCAGCAGGATCATGAAGTCCCCTGGAAAAAGGAAACGCCACGTGAGTAGGGTTTGTCGTCCGGTGGGAGTGAGATCAGAGCCGTGTCCGGCAGGGTCCTTCATCGGGCATCTCAGGTATGCACAGGGGTCGTCGAGAGCCGCCTCTTACCTAGCTCGTGAGGAAACTCTTCGCACAGGATGGCGATGGACGTGCTGAGGCCCTGCAGGAGAGACAGCGTGCACGATGCCCCGATGGCCAGGCCGTCGATGAAGTTGTGGAGCGCATCACAGAGCGTGATCATCCAGGCGATGGTCCCGATTTCGGACAGCTTGGGCCCCTTCAAACAGCCACACGAACTGGGCTCCCTTTTGTTCTCCTGGAGAGTAGCAGAAGACCGAGCAACACGATGACCAACATTTCCTGGGTTAGGGTCAGGGGTACAGAGAAGTAGGAGATGGCTCGTGTCTGAGAGAGACCAACTTTCCAGCTGAAAGTCTTTCATGGTTATGGGAAGCCCTGATAATATATAACAGAGAACACAAAGGTTATGGCAGGCAAAGGTACACCTTGATCGAGCCACTTAGACACATTTTACATCGGTTTCCCCCAGAACCAAACCTTTTCCCTGATATGAACAAATTCTTAGAACTACCTTCCTGCCATATAACATCTTACTCTAAGAATTGGATCAATGCACATACATTAAAGAAAGTTATCCAAAGAGTACATTTAAAGTCTTCTCCATGTTTCAATTTAAATGTGAAAGCCACAATCAGAGCAGGCTAACATCAAGGAACATTAATTCCAACTCCTCCTCTGGGCCTGTGTGACTCTAAACAGATTATCACAGTCAGTTTCTTCAACTGGGACACAAAGCGAAGGCAACTTGCTCCCCAACAGCTACAGTGCTCCCACCTCATCCCCGGGGCTGGGTCCCCACCACCTCGAAATTTTAATCATTCTCTCAACAATCGCCACAGAGTGCGCTTGGAACAGGCTTGCCTTTATGTCAGCACTTCTTTCCACTTTGAAATAATAATAAAAATAGAAAATCCTATCACAGACCCTTTGTAGGAATTTCAAGTTCCATAAAATAGACAGAATTGTACAAAATCAAATGATAAATGCCAACTAAAGCATTTGCCAGAAGTTGAAGGAAAAGATTATAACATGCGAATTCATTTTTAAGTAGGCGAGCAGTTTGCAATTAACCGGAGAACATTTCATTCCTAATCAACATATTTACTGAGTGTCTGCAGTGGGGACACAGGGCCTGTCTTTAAGATCCGTGTCTATGCTGGAGAACCAAGACATCAGGTTTATGGCTGGCTTTCTTAAAAAGTGCAACATACAACCAACCGAAAGGCACTTCCTCCAGTTAAACAACAGAGGCATTTACATTTATTTACTCTAACCTTGCTCAAAACACTGGGGGATCCACACTGTGAGGACTGACTAGATCCTGTAACACATCTTTTCACTGTTTCACTGGTGGCAAGTCTGTGTCTTTAGGGAATTTTATCTACAATTTTTCTTTTTTTAATAGTATATGTTTTCTGTTTGCAGATCCAGCCCAAATCACTTGGGGCAAATGCGTCCTTTAATATGGAAGACCGGGGCCACTGTGGTCACCTTCGTTGTCACCATTATCATCACCATTGATCCAGCTGTGGGGGTCACAGTAACAGCAAGGCTTATGTATAGCTCTGCTCTGAGTGCTTTGGGTGCATTTAGAGCAGTTCCATGAGGTGAAGCAACTGGTATTGTTCTAGCCATTTTAGAGCTGAAAAAATGAACGCACAGAAAGGCAGTGAATTTACCCAGTGATAGAAGGGAGAGAAGTGGGCTTTGGGGTAACATTGTTTTATACTCCAGACTTATGGGGGGTCCTTCTTTGTTACAGGGTCTGCACCAGGGAAAATTCTCCTCTCAAAAGCTCGTCCAAACACTTGAAGCAGCATTATCATACGTCTCTGATCTCCTTTATTTTCAAAAGTAAACCTCAGCTATATAAAAAGACGTCTGGGGCTGGGGATTTAGCTCAGTGGTTCAGGAGCCTGCCTTGCATGTGCAAGGCCCCAAGTTCAATCCCCGGTACCAAAAAAAAAAAAAAAGACTTCCAGCCTTTACATCTGGGTCTTTGCTCTTGCTGACTGTGTCTTAAACGTCAGCATAGTAAACGGTCCTGATCGGTATGGGACCAGGAGGTGGCCGGGGCGACAGATAGCAGAAGTTGATAATCGTGGAAGGAGGTACAACATGTTTCTGGCAAAGCCATGGAGAAAGAGATCTGGGCTTCGTGTAGACCCAGTGCCTGATGCATCCCAAAGACCGTATGAATTAAGACAGTGTTTCCATCTTCCAGCTTGGCTTAGGAAATCACGTACAGTATTTACAACTTCCTCATTCACTTGTGATAAGGGGGAAGTTTGCAAAGCCAACTTGACCACCTAATGTCACGTAGTCTACAAACAAACACCCTCAGTGCTGCAAAAGAAATTAAATTAACACATCAGGCATAGCAGCCATCTGACCTCTAAGTCAAGATTGTGCTGACTTTTTAGCTACGCCACATGTTAACTCCGTGAGCTTAGGTCCCAAATCGTGCTGTTGAGAAGGTTAAAGTCCTATATTTTTATATTTTTGGAAGGGGATCTAAAAGGAATCAAGCTGTGTCATGTGCATGTACCGACTCCCCACAATGGCTGTAATCATTATGTACTGTAAACCTGCACTCATCAAAAATGTTTTCAAAATGAAGCAAACCAAACTAGGCAAACATTTGCAGAAAGTTACAATTCACTCAACAAAGACACTGCTAAATTCAAGTTCCTTTAATTAACGCAGTGAGTACTGCACTCTCCTTGTTTGTTATCACTACTTGCCGCTGCCCCTGCTTTGGGCTTATGCTCCCCGCTTTGATTTTTCTCTAAACCTGCGGCTATTCCCGCCTCCGCCACGAGAGGGCAGATGAGCCCACAGCGAAGATGCGTCTGAAGTCCAAAGCTGAGCACCAAGTGGTCCCAGCTAAAAGAAAATTCTGCAAAAGTTGGATGGCACAGAAACTTGTTAGAGGGAAAAGAGGAAAGCTTCTAACAAGGGTGCATGATCTTGGGCGTGATGATGTTCTTAAAGAAATCTCACCACTAAAGCTCGAGGTAAGCCAGGAGATTAATTAGCCAGAAAGGGAAGCTCACTCTAAAAAGCGTCATTGCTGACTTCGTAAGTTCAAATGAATCAGAGTTGCCTGGGTCTGGTAGGAAACAAATCCAAAGGGTGTGAAATAACGCACACAGCACCTCGCATTTACAAAGCACGTCCACCCGCAAGCTTCCTTGTCTTCTCTTAACTTCACAGCATCCTCAAGAGAGCATTTTTAGAGATCATCCCCTGCGCGTCTATCTTACAGGAGGCAGAAACTGTGCCCCAAGGTCAGGATGTAGAGGAAGCTCCAGCCCACTGGAGTTCACAGTCCAGAGTGGAACACGAGGCGAAAGGCCGGGCCTGTGACGTGGAGCCCCACGCCGTCCCCTTTGAAATGACACTCCGCTCCCTCTCTGGCCTCTGTCCCGGGTTCTCCTGACCCGGCCACCTCGGCCTGCCCATTTCCTGGTTCCCACTTGAGGCTGACCATAGGGAGCCCCGGCTGAGGAGCTATGAAAGCAGGCGTCCTGTCCTCGGTGCCCATCTGTAGGCAACTCTGGGCCGAGTGTGGCTGCACGTGAAGTCACAGCCCCTGCCTCCCCAGCTCCCAGGGACTGCTTCCTCTCCTGCCCCACCCTCTGCATCCTGGGCCGCTGGTGCAGGGCTCACCCTGGTTCTCTTCCTCCCCATACCTTGCTCCTCATGCAAACCCTGCTGCAAGAGTCTTCAGGATGCAGTCTTCTTCCCACCAGGACCCCAGCTGGTGCAACCGCTGGTGCTGGAGTGGATACAGGAGCCTGCAATCAGATGCTTCCATTGGGATTTTCCTATATGCAAAGCATTGAGGAAAAGGACCCTGGTTGTATGTAGGGTGCACTGCATTTCCAATGAGGCCCAGACCCTGAGAGGTGTCTGCCGTGTCCGGGATGTACAGCAATCCATGCTGCCTTGGGTTCCCAGGACCCACAGGACAATGGGGCAGGGAGAGTGTGGCTGTCAGAGAGGGGCACAGGAGCCTCTGGGCAGCCCTGACCCAGTGAGTGCCTTGCAGACCCCAGAGACCATGGAAATCTCGTCCTGAACTGCTCTTCTCTCGGAAGCAGTCAGTGCAGAGGTGGATCCCACCCGGGGAGTACTGCATGAGGTAGCATCGTGCTCATGGTGGGCTGGTGCTGTCCACCAGCAGAACGTGAAGCTGATACTCACACGAGTTCCACCATATGTCGAGGGACAGCCCCACGCTGTCCGGGAAGGCAGCAGGACAGTGACAGCAGGCAATCCAGAGTCTCACCATGTCTAATCCTGATGCTTTCTCTTTCCCCCCAGCAATAAAGTTCCGTGGTGACTCCCCAAAGCCACTCAGTTGTGCACAGACATCTAAGTGTGCCCACAGCACACTGTGCCCTCCTGACTAAGCAAGCTTTTTCACAAGTGCCTAAAACACAAGGAGGATGAGAAATCCTCTGAGTGGAATTTCTGATTTCTCACTTCCTGCAGAAGAAATGCCTGGGGTTCAGAGCAACATTAATTCAGGGCAGGCCAGGCTTTCAAGTGATAAAGTCAGAAAATGGGGAGCAAAGATACAAGGTGCTTGGTGAATGCTTAAATTTAAAAAAAGTATTACAATAAAGACATGTTGTCGTTAATTCCCCTCACAATACCCCTCACTTCGAACACACTCATCCTATCTCTTGGCACTTTCTGCAGCAGCTCTGGAGTGCTCTTTCCTGAGGGTCTTCAGCTGTGCTGTCCTGGCTGCCTCAATGTCCTAAATTGATCCAAAATGTTGACCTTTCATGGTCATTTTGACTTGGGGAAGAGCCAGGAGTCACACAGTGCCAGATCTGGTGAATAGGTGGATGAGGATGCAGAGTTGTGCTTTTACAAGCTGCCTTTCCAGGTGGCTGACATTGGACCGCAGCATTCATCATATTTTTTATCACATCTCATAAAGACATTCATTCATAAAGAACGAGGGCACACGTATGTTTGAATGAAGGACAGTGATTTGAGGAAGATGGCAATGCATCTTTTACTGTAATAAATTTTTTAAATTTAAGCATTCACCATGTATTTTGATCACTCCTCTTATTTGGAAAGCTATATAAGGATAGACCTCTTTTAACAGGCACGGAGTGGGAAGCTAATTCTGCTCCACTAAATCTTGTGAGGGGCTCTGGTATTACAAGGAGTCTGGCTAACGAAGTGAAGAGACCTGATTCAAGGGTTCCCCAGTCGCCATCCAGATCTGTCCTTAGCGGGCCGACATCACTCAGGCCACAGCAGCAAGGAGGGCCTCTTCCCAGCTCCACTTTGTCCTCCCTGCCAAGGCCACCGGCCTTCCAGCCCGACAGAGGCCCAGCCTGCCACAGCCAAGGGCAAGAGGCCCAGCTGACTGGACGCCCAGCACAGGGGACCCTTCCGACTGGCAGGGACTGGCACAGCCGGCACTCACCTCTGCCGCAGCACTTCTGCAGGTCCCAATGCTCCCGGGTGCCCAGGGTGCCTGGTAGGCAGGCAAGGGCTCTGTGAAAACCACCTCCAAAGCCACTGTCTGCCCTTCTCCCGTTCTCCATGCCCTACCACCTGTGTGTGCCTGTCACAGGGCTCTGGCTTCCAGAGAGTCCCATACAGACAGCTCAAGCCCAAAACTGGGGAGAGGAGATGGAAATGCGGGCACTCACTCCTTGGACTCCCTCCCTGAGGAGTAACGGACACTGGCTATGTCCCAACTAAAGACCACTGCTTTGTTGGCAGCGGCTTCCTGCAGACTGGGGTTCCCTAGGTGCTAGAGGGGTGTGAGGGGCCAACAGCGCCACCGTTACCAGCCCAGCTACCACAGTCTCCTGGGTTCGGTGGCACCCTGCCAGGGTCTGCACAGCCGGCTCTTTCTGGTACGAATGCTCATTCTCTGACACAGCACTCACAGACTCCAACTACGCTATTACATATATTTTAGTGCAAAAGTAGCAAACAGGGCTAAATAGACATGCATGTACTCTTAAAAGTTAAAGCCACTCTAAAATGTGGAATTTTTGATGGGCTTTGCTTTTATGACTCGATTTTCTAATCATTTCTGTGTTTATATTTTACAGCCAGGGTTCCCTGGCCCTTCCCATGGCTTTGAAATGTTGATCTCCGCTCACTATAGCCAAAGGGAAACTTCCTATGGAAAGGAGAAATTCATTTTATCTTTAATGCCTATAACCAAATACAATTCAAATGCATTAAACCTGCAACCATTCGGTTTCAGGAAAATCGCAAAACCATTTCCAAATTCTCTTTCCTAATGAACATAGCCATTATCAAGAAAATAACAAGTTCCAGAACCCTTGGAAATGGTTTCCCTTTCAACCCTTCTGCGGGATGAGAGGAAAGCTGTTTCAGTCTTTAGAAGTTGAAATAACTGTCTTTCGTTTTGAGTTTGAGGTGGTGACATTGTGCTGCCATGAAAATAATGATTTAAGAGAAACCTGAGGGCATTCCAAGAAATCTGCAACTATTTTGCCAGTGGAATTTAAGCACACACTAGCTAAATGTTTGCAGCTGTCCTGATGGACTACTTACACCGCTCTGCAGGTGTCCTGCAGTCGCTGCAGACGAGAAGGGGCACCCGGCATTATAATGCTCTGTGCATCCCAGAAACAGGGCATCATCTCTTATGAAAAGCTGTTTCATGGTCTCCTGGCCTGTGCAACTCTCACTGCTACCGAGCAGGCTTTCAGGGACTTTGGGTGACACCGGAAATTGGTGACGTCTTCGTGTGAGCTGGAAAGCATGCCCAGGATCTGAAAGTCCCACCCAAGCAGAACAGCTCCATGCTCAGCACCCAGGGCACTGAGGGTGCAGATGGGAGGCAGGAACGGGTGGGGTGACTTGAGCTGCACCCCCAGGAAGAGCTGACACACAGGCGTCCCGCCTCAGGTGGCACAAGTGACCGACTCCCTGGCAGTGTGATTTCTGGGGGCAGCGGCCGGCAGAGGGTGAGAAGCCTGCATGGTCATGAGAGGCAGAGACACAGAGACGCGAGAGGCAATGAGGGCAGAGAGGGGCGTGGCTGCCACCGGGAAGAGCGAACACCCCAAAGGGCACAAGGAGCCTTTTCCGTGGGGACCACAGGGATCTCATCTCTATTTCCGCATTCAGCAGAGCAGAGGCCGCCTCTGCCCATGAGGGGACCGTGAGGGGCGGGAGCCGCATGGCCGTCACCATGACACCCTGGAGACTTCCTGGCCAGGGTTGGGAAAGCTGGTTTGGAGCAAGGAGCCGGGCTGGAAGACGAGGACGTCCTGCAAGGAGGACGGCATGGGGACGGATGTCAAGGGCGACGTGGGCTCCCCCCCCCCTCGGTCTTGAGGGCTGCGTCTCGCAGCTGCTAACTCGCTGTTTGGAAAACGCTGAGGGGCTGCCATCTCCACTTACAAACGAGGAAACTGAGGCACGGGGACAAATTCCCACCCCCAGAAAGCAGCAGGGACAGCCTCTGGGCCTCTGTGCGTGGGGTTCGCTTTCTGTGGGGTTCCGTCTGTCCCCCTATGCTCAGTGATCAGCCGCTGGCTGAATAATAAACAAAGGGACGCTCACAGGAGCGCTCAAAGCGTTGTCCTGGAGTCATCTATTCAAACCTTTCCCAACGGCAAACACACGGACATTTACAGCCAAGTGGAAAGAACAGGCATAGGAAAGCTCAGCGTCATGGAAATACAAGACTCAGAACATGCAGACATGTTCATGCTGTGTGCCAATTTTTTATCACTGAGAGTTGTGTGGCCAGATTAAAAGCCCTTGGAAGACAAAGATTTTAGCATTTAGTGTGTGTTTCTTTTAAATATCCGGAAGGAAGAATGTTTTGCCAAATCGAATGAGAGGTAGAATGCTGGAATCACGCAGACACTTCCCTCTACTCCGAGACCGGGCAGAGACTGTCGCCGGGCCCACCGCATCTAACGTGTGAGGTTCAGGTTTTCAGATTGCCCAGGGAGAAGCACAAAAACAGAGTAACTGTAACAAACCAACCTGTTGAAAGCTGATTATTTGCAAAGAACTCTCAACCACCTGAAAAGACTGTTGCTATCCTGATTCCAGATGGAGCAAATAAGAATAGTAAAGGTAAGGACTTGGCCAGAATGGCACAGCAAGGAGGCGGAAAGCCAGGACTTGAACCGAGACTGACTCTACATCCCACGCACGAAAAGTGGAGACCCCTCAGGGGAAACGGGCTCCAGGAGGCACACTCAGCTCAGCAGCGTGCGCTGGGCATGGGGGGTTTTACCATGTTTCCAGGACTCTCCCGGGAAGGCACTGGTGATTCAAGGGCAGACCACGCTGAGCTGGTCGGGGGTCCGGGATTTGCTAACACTGCGGTCACTGAGCAGGGAGGACACCACTCTGTAATCTGTCCTCCCCACACTGCAGTGCGGATGGAAGCCCAAAGTTGTTTCTTGCCTGGCTCTTCCTGACCTCAACACAGTTAATAAAAAGTAATTTGTGAACCATCATCTCTTTTAGATCTAGAGATGGCAGGGGGAGGAGGGGTGGAGATGGGAAGGGAAATAAAAAAGAATCAAGATACGTTAATGTACATGTATCTGCTCCCGAGATGAGTGTAAACTCCGTGTATTAAAAACATGTACTAATGAAGAGAAAAAAGAAGACTGACGAGCCGTGAGCGCAGCAATGCTGACTTGGGAGACTTCTCCCTGGGTCCCTAGCATCGCAGCACAGCAGCTTTGCTGAGCCTGGGCTCCATCTTTCTTAAAACCACCAAACGCTTTCCCACCCAAGGCCTGTCGCTGGC